AGAGCTCTCGGATTCCATCAAAAATAGCTTAATTTGTGTTCCGAAGATGAACGAAGGTCTTACGGGTTTGGAACGACACGAGGGTGAGGAATTAACGACAGAATTTTCATTTATTGGTGAACAATTCCTTTAACATGTCAAAAGCTTAACTGTTCTGTTACAGCCAGTGCCCCACAATTCTGTGCTGTTTGTTTTTCTTGAATCAGTGATGATCCATATCTAGCTTGTATTTTTATTACAGGTTTCTTACATAAGTTATGAATGAAGCAAAAGGAGATACACTATGTATGCACTTACCTATTATGCCTGGATGAGGTGAACCTGTAGTTATTCTTGCCAGTGTTTACCAGAATTTTTTTAGAACAAATAATCAGCAAATGGTCTTGCTTTAATTGGCAGACTGCCCTCACACTACCTACTATAAAATACGACAAATGTTCTGTATCAAATGATAAGCTCCTGAGGCTGATAGCCTCCCTTTTAAAGAGAAAATATATGGGAAACGCTGTGGCTCACCCTGCAACTATGACAGCACAAAAGACACAACAATCTTTGGTGATTTATTCACATTGTTTTCTTTTCACCACATCTGAGACGGAGGCAACTGAAAAGATATCGGCGGGTCCTCAAACTTGTGCAAAGAGGCTTCAGGATGACCACAGCTTTCAAGAAAGCTTGCGTTTCAAGAAATGCTGTGAAAGACACGGCAGCAATTGCAGAGATTTACATAGCAGACAATAGTGTCCTAGACCAGTTCAAGGGTAAATACACACTTTTGAAACTAGCACAACTTTGTCAGAAACAATAGTTGGTGAACTGGCAGAAAAGATCATTGAAATGAAAACCAACAAACAGCTCATCCCCTTTTCTGCCAAGAAAGACTGAATGTAGGCAGCAGGATGTTAACTAGATACGTTTAAGTAAATTATTGTTAACTAGGTAAGTTTTATTTTTCATAATTTGAAATAGTGGTGGCTGTTGTTCAAGTTTTTTTCCCCTATGCCACACCTCCAATAAGACAACGTGGTAAAGACATATGTGCAGCATGTTTTTTCTTCTTTCCTCAGGGGAGTTTTTTCATATAATGTTAATTCATGTAAAGTTTGCCACACATAATCAGACTGTTTAGATCTGATACCCGAGTGAACAATGAGTTGTATAAATATATTAACAAAACTTTTTCTAATGTCCTGCCTATAGTGTTTATTGTATTGTGCTTCATCGTCTGGTATGGACTTCTCATTTAAAATAGTAAATATGTAGCAAATAATTAATGAATGACGGCATGTGTTCTGTTGATAGCTTATAGACTTTCTACTGTTATCAACTGTTTTTCACTTTAAGTGGATAGTCCTAAAAGATATCTGCAAATGCTTAGTTGAGAATGCCTACCAATAGTCTGCTGATCGTAAACTTTAGATTAGTTGACAAGCAACATGTAAGCAACTGATGTTTAGTTGACTATCAACAGATATTAAAGTAGTGATTGATCAAAACGAGGTCTTAAATAATTATTAATTTGATACGTTTGAGACCCTTGAGTAAGGATGATGTAATATGGTCTTGATCATAAGTTGACATGACTGTAGACTTTCAATTGACATTGATTTTGACAACTTAGAGGATGGTAACACAATCTACAGAAAGTTAGCTGACTATTGGTTAATAATCTGTTGCGAAAAACATGTAGACAGTCAACTGGCAACTTTTTTGTAAAATCTATAGATTAGAATTTGAAATGCACCTTCAAATCTACTGGCAGTTAGTTGAACGTATGTTACTTGTCTGTTGAAACAATGTTGTTGAATGTCAACTGATTCACTGTTGACATGCTACTAAATGAGTACTGATAACTAGTAGAGTCTCAACAGATGGACCATCAAAATAAAGTGTTACCAAAGTTTTTTTGTAAACAGCTTTTTCGCATTTACAGGTCACATGGCCGGTGTAGATTGCGGCCACAATGCTTGTGTTTATTCCAGAATCCAGCCGTGCCACGCACGTTTCTGAAGCGGCTCTCTGTGCTGCTTCTGTAAAGATACACACATACGCCCAATGTTGTTGAATGTCAACTGATTCACTGTTGACATGCTACTAAATGAGTACTGATAACTAGTAGAGTCTCAACAGATGGACCATCAAAATAAAGTGTTACCAAAGTTTTTTTGTAAACAGCTTTTTCGCATTTACAGGTCACATGGCCGGTGTAGATTGCGGCCACAATGCTTGTGTTTATTCCAGAATCCAGCCGTGCCACGCACGTTTCTGAAGCGGCTCTCTGTGCTGCTTCTGTAAAGATACACACATACGCCTCCTTTGAATAAATATAGCCAAAATCCATTGCCATGACTTATTGCAAGAGGCAAAAGGTTACGTTTTAGTCGCATAATATTGGTTAATGGAAACGCCGTCATTTCACAATACTTTTTTACCGACATTTATAAAATATCGCCAAAGTTTTGCGTAAATCTGTAATGGAAACGTGCCTTGTATCTGTTTCCCGAACTAGAAAATACAAAAAACATCCAAACCAATTTAAAAGTAACAATTCAGAATCAGAATCAGAATCAGAAAGAGCTTTATTGCCAAGTATGTTTGCACATACAAGGAATTTGTTATAGTGTCACAAGCTTCCAGTACACTGAGACAACAACAACACACAGATAATAAAAGTGAGATGTGAATAAAATACACATGCATAAATATAAACCACAAAAAAAA